AGGAGGAGGAGGAGAGAGGAGGAGAGAGGAGGAGGAGGAGGAGGAGGAGGAGGAGGAGGAGGAGGAAGAGGAGGAGGAAGAGGAGGAGGAAGAGGAGGAGGAAGAGGAGGAGGAAGAGGAGGAGGAAGAGGAGGAAGAAGAGGAGGAGGAGGAGGAGGAGGAGGAGGAAGAGGAGGAGGAGGAAGAAGAGGAGGAGGAGGAGGAAGAGGAGGAGGAGGAGGAGGAGGAGGAGGAGGAGGAGGAGGAGGAGGACGACGACGACGACGACGACGACGACGACGACGACGACGACGACGACGACGACGACGACGACGACGACGACGACGACGACGACGAGGACGACGAGGACGACGAGGACGACGAGGACAAGGACGAGGACAAGGACGAGGACAAGGACGAGGACGACGAGGACAAGGACGAGGACGACGACGAGGACGACGATGGCAAGGACGATGGCAAGGACAAGGACGAGGAGGACGAGGAGGATTGCAGTTTCCCTATATTTTCTACAAATCCTATTTTGTACCAGTGTTGATCTATAGCCTTTACATTCAGTTTTCCATTTGCATGGAGTCATGTTCTAAACATTTATCTTCAATTTGTCTCATAATCATAATTACCAAAATAGAAACAAAATAAAGTACTTCTACCCAATACTAACCACTCTGAGACAGGCAGTAGTAAAAGTAGTACTGTTACAAGGAATCACTACAGCCTCTTTGGCTTCTGTCACTCCCACAGAGGCTAACAATCTTCTAATACATCTTGTGGGTATTGGGAGGTCTCTGCAGCATTATTTCTATACTCATGTAATGGGTAGTGGAAAAAGTGAGAGGAATCTGTTGATACTATTATCTTCATGTTCAGTGATGCAACAGTCTTCTCAATAATCACCAAGTTACTACATAATTACTAAAGTTACTACAACAGGACAGTGGGTATCATCATATTTCCTACAGAATTCCCGTAAGTTAACCCCTTGGCTCCTGCTGCGTTACTACCCTCCCGTGACTCCCTTCACAGTTTGACATTTTTTGATGTCTGTATTTGTCATTTGATAATGATGTTTTCCTTGCACAAACTCCATATTATCTCCCTAAGTAGTCCATAACTCAGTGTAATAATTGTAAGAACAAGTAACATTTTGTTATTTGTGTCATCTATTTTTTTCTAATATTCAATTTTCTGTAACATACCTTCCACCGGTGGTCAGGATTACGAAATAGTATTCTCCCTAGGGCTAGAGCTGTTCCTGTCATGGCTTACAATGGTACATCTCACACTCATTCCTAAATGCCAACTGTGCATTCCTCCTCCTTGTCCTCCTCCTCCTCGTCCTCCTCCTCCTCGTCCTCCTCCTCCTCGTCCTCCTCATCCTCGTTCTCCTCGTCCTCGTCCTCCTCGTCCTCGTCCTCCTCCTCCTCGCCCTCCTCGTCCTCCTCCTCCTCGTCATCTTCCTCCTCGTCCTCCTCCTTGTGCATTCTTTAAGAATTATTCCCACCACCCTAGCCCTCAACTGAAATTCTTTTAAAATTCTCTTGAAATTCTCTTCCGTGACGCCATGTTCACGCCACCCTCAACTCGGCCAAGTATTTTCATGCTGTGGCAGTCACATCATCCGGATCCAAGGGGTTAACAAAATGACTGTAGCCATTAATTCAAAAGCCATAATTGTGTTTTTCCTTAACCCAATGGCGCCGGGTGTACAAAACAAAAAAAAAACTCTACGCTCTGGCAAACAAAGGTGGCGCGCCGACTTTGAGCACATGAGTAGGGTACATCAGCCCGAATCACTGGCTCGCCACACTTTGGCACGCCACTGCAGCATACAGCTGCATGCCAGCTTTCGAGCCATTTGTTTTTATGCCGATCAGCGTCACCCAGCGTTAAGGGGTTAAGTACACTAAAGAGAAACAAACCAAAAAAAAATTCTGACCCATTTTCCTACTGCCTCTCCTTATTACCCTACAAATGTCCATTTTCCTCTACCACACTCTCGTCACATTCTTCTCCTTCATTTCCTTTCTTAAGGAGCCCAATTACCGTGATTTTCCTCCCTTTTTTGGTTATTTTTCATGAGGACAGAATGGAACAAATGAGCCAATATTTTTCTACCATATATTCTGACTCCTCTCATAACGCTGTTATTTCTATCATGAAGTATTACACTTAATGGACTGTAATGGTGTTATCATACCGCTAACAATAAATTTATCAATAACTAGAAAGATAACTAGAGAAAATTATTTTAATAAAAGAATAGAAATCAAACCTTTACCTTACCTCCGCCGATGATTATTATAGGCCTATCTTTTTATATCATATCTATCGATTTCATTTAACCTTCACCTTCCTATTTCATGTAGAACCACCTCTTTTATATTCGCAATCAATAACTTACTTAGAAACAGCAAATGAGGCCTAATTAAGACTAATTAATACCCTTAATTCCAGCAACAAGAACAAGACGGGTTGACGCCTCCAGGTCACTAAGTACTACGGGCGTAAACTAATTGATCGTGCTACTAACATTTTTTTTTTTCTGTCTAATATTTGGTGATGTGGTGTTTCATATGATTTTTTTTTATATGTACTTCATGTCTGAATGTTTTATGTAATTTCTTTATTTGGTCTGATAATTGTGTCACTGGTTTTGTTTTATGCTTGTAACCATGCACCGAAGACCGCGTACTTTGAACACAAAACACGCGCGCGGATGTACGCACACACATACACACACCCACACGCACACACACACACACACGCACACACACACACACACACACACACACACTCACACTCACACACACACACACACACACACACACACACACACACACACACACACACACACACACGGTCTATATAAGTATACTTATGCAGACCTTGCATACACACATACGCAAGCACACACACAGAAGTGTTACAATCGCATCGCATCAGTGCTTTACAGTTCTTACATGCTGTTAAATACGGATGTAATCGGGTAATGGGTGGTTTAGTTTGTAAACTTTGGGTTATGTAAATGTGCATAGTTCATAATGAAAGAGAAATTGCGAGATCGAGGACAAGGGAAGCAAGATCTAACCGCAAATCCTGCCTGTGAAGCGTTTCGCGCTGAGTGGCAAGTGCCGCGAGTACAGCTCTATTTTTGTGTTTGTTTAATGGGCAGCAACTAAGATCAGCCCAGGAAAATGAAGTTAGCGAAAGCAGTGGTTGGATCTGAAGTTCTTGAAGCCAATATAGACAGCCTGGTAACAGAATGTTTAAAAATACGCGAAGAAACGTAAATTTGAAGGAAATATGGATAACTTGCGCAGAAACACAACCATTCAAAGAGAGAATACTGAAAAAATCTGACAAGATAATCAAGGAACTCAAGGTAGACATATAAACCAAGATTGGCAACGGTAGTCAAAATGAAGCAAAGACTGCAAGGAAAAGGTCAAAGCAATTAAAGTACAGGACACTGTTAAGTAGACTGAAAGCAATTTGTCAAGCAGTCAGTTTCAAATGATGGATGAGGCAAAATAGTTGACAGCTACATATGTCGATGTATCGAAAGCAAAGGAAAGAACAAAAAACAGAAAAAAACATCAAAATCACAAAGGAAGAGGTAATACACTGCTTACAGAGACGGTTAAAGAAAAATGAAGTCACACCTCGGGCAACACGCAAGGACAGCGCCTATTTGACTGATGTAAACAAGGACATAGTCATTAGGAAGGACATTAGGAAAAAGTCTTAGAAGGTGTGGCTGAAGTTTATAAATTCCGAATTCTCGAAGCAAAATTTAGGGATCGGGATTATTCGAAAGGGGAACGAAACGCAAGTGACATTTACGAACAAACACATGGTAACTGATGTTATAGATAAAGGTAAAGTCCTGGCCACCTACGAAGAATATGAGAAAATATGACCAGATATGAGATAGGACTTCTGCAGAAAAAATGAAAGGAGTAAAGTACAAAAGTGAACGTAGGGTTGGGAGAGAGGTCTCCAAGCAAAACAAGTCTACTGTCGGAACCAAAATGTAGAGACAAACATTAGCCCAGTAACTAAAAGATATACCGAAAGATTATATAGAAATAGTTTATACAAATATAGATGGTTCATCTTCAAAGTTGCTATAACTAGATACAATAGCTGAAATGACTAGACTAGATCTAATATGCATAACTGAATCCAAACTGGACCCCTCCATAGACTCGGAGATTATTTGGAGAAAATATAGGGTAAATGGAAACGGAGGGGGGGGGGGCGATATTAACAAGGAAAGGAGTTATCATAAAGGAGTTAGAAATTAAACTGAAAGTAATTGAAGTAGAAACAAATGAGGTAAACATAATAGTAGCCACAGTGTACAGTACATGCCGCCTCATAGGTCGGTATGCCACAAGCAATGTTAAATAGCCTGGGAGAAGTGCTAACTTTCGGAAACCAATACCAAGGAAATTCTTGTATCTTAAATTTTATTAGCAGAATTGATTGAGAGAGTGCTGATCCTAGAGTAGAGCTTGGTTCATGGAATACAAAATTACGAGAAGTCATAAATGTGCATCGCCTTTTCCAAAATATAACGACTATACTAGAGTAAGAAGGCTAGACAGAGCGTCTACGCTGGACCTAATATCCACAGAGCATATAGATGATATGAAGGATATGGAGTACTGTCCTCCTCTTGGAAAAAAAGTGAACAAGCAGTAATCATATTAAAACACTAGATGCTGCAGGGAAAATCATCGTAAGTAAGGGAAGAAAGAAGAAGTACAAAAAAAGTAAACATAGAAGCCTTAGAAAATTCTTTGATGTTATAAACTGGGAAACTGGACGGAGAGAGCATTGATGTTCAATACTTGACGAAGCTTACAGGCAAGTAGACATATCTTTTTTATGATTCAAAACTGAAACAAGAAATGGACAAACGTGATTCAGTGATAAATGCACGAAAATAAGAGAAACAAGCAGGTCCTTTGAGAAAGGTTCAGAAGACACAGACCTCAAACAGCTTATGAAATATACAAAGTAGGAAGAAATGAGTATACCCAGACCATAAGGAGTGGTAAATAGACTTCGAAAAGGATATAATCAACAAAGGCTCTTCTTTAACTACATAGGCAGTAAGACTAAAAGTGGAGATCACATTATTACCATCAAAAACAACATTGTTTCTACTAAGAAGGAGGAAATGTGTAAAATCTTTAATGAGGAGTTCCAATCAGTGTTTGTTCAGAACCCTGTGAAATATAAAGAAACCGTACAAATGTCAATTGGAATATCGAAAATATCACACTCTAACTGACCTACTAAAATGACCTACTAAAATGGTTAGATAACACTAGTTTCGTTGATCAATGTCTGTAAGTTTCTATATTAGGAAACACAATATATCAAATACGCAATTTGCCTTTAGGGAAGAAAGGTCATATGTAGCAGATCTTTGTTTTTATGAAAGTTTCTGAAATATTACAAGAAAGAGACGACTGGGCAAACTGAGACTTTAAAAGGACGTTTGATAAGGTGTCACCCAGCGGAAAATCTCGAGGATCGGTCTTGGCGCAGATTATGTTTACTATTTTCAACAATGATTTCCAGTCAAGCATAAGCCCCGGTGAGCTATCTGAATAAGTCCGCAATAAAGGACGCGATAATGCAAAAAAAGGATGATAGACGACGTCTGATGTCAATGCCTTCAAAGGGACATCGAAAATTTATTCATATGGAGTTGTCCTTGGGAAAATTAAATTCAACAAAAATAAATGTAGTCAAGTTTGGGGAAATAAAAACCGATTCCTATACCAATACAAATCTAGACATGCAGAATTAAACACAGCAGATAGGAATAACGCCCTTGGAATACTCATAACCAGTATATGAACACAAATAAAACAGGTCCATAAAATGCTTGCGGTGGTTTCCAACATAAAGAAGACGTTCGCTGATACAGGCAAAGATATGTTTAAGAAGATCACTAAAGCCATCAAAAGAACTAGTCCAAAGTACAGTGGTATGGAGTCCGCAATTAAAATTTAAATATCGACAAACTGGAAATAGTTAAAAAAGCAGCCACAAGATGGGCACCAACTCTAAAAGATATGAACTACGAGATTAGACTACGTAGGACTTGCTACTTTGGATGAAAGAATGAACATGAGTGACATGATTATGCTGTTTAACTTGCAGGAAGAGTGATTTTATAATTTTGAACGCAAGAAGTAGTTTGAGAGTCAAATTGTGTTTCCGGATATCCTTTCTGCTGCTACACTCGCCTCAGCGTTCTCTTGTTTGCACTGATATTTGCTGGCAGATGAACCAGGCAACTTCAACTTGGGCATAGATTGATGACGATGAGATTGCTGGGTTCTGCTATGGTGACAGAAGGCTCCGTCAAGGCTGCCAGCGTCTCCATCTCAGCCATTCCATGGGCAGCAGAACGTGTGACGAGAGTTCTGCCGCTTGGCAAAATCTGCACAATTGGTATGAACCCTTAAGCCGTGTGTTCCATCTTCCTACATCCAATAAATGTTGCGTTCCATATGACTAAACGTCTATTTTGGGGTACGGTAGCAGTGAGGTATTTCGTTCCAGCGTTGGATCAAGTGCTGATTTAAAAAAAAGCCAAATGTTGATAATTTTTACGTTGTGATTAATAATACAAATAATATTAATTTTAGTTCCAAAAATACGGAGGCAAGTTAAATAACGGCAGACCTGTTTCTGAGTCCGACTCAAGCAAAAAAGAGCCAAGAAGAGTTGCAGAGAAGCTGGAAGGGAAGCATTCGGCGGGTCGTCCAGAGCAAGGATTACTGATCTTGATGCATCACCTAAGCAAGGAGGAGTTCTGGGAAGAAGCGAAACTCTCAGGAGCGCCTCTACATGTGGCAAAGGGGGGGGGGGGGGAGGTGCCACCTAGTATAAGATGGTCTTGTATCTTGTATCCTATATATATTTCTATCCTATAATATTTTCTAAATCCGTCCTTAGGTGGGATGTTGCTTCTCAGATCCGTAGAACAGTGAATAAATACTGATTAGGGAGACAAAGACAACCCTATGATAGAAAGAAGCAAGACTGAAAGTAGAGTTGAGAGAAAAGTCAATACTTGAGAGGAGAGTTGGATCAAATACTGATTTTTAAAAAAGCCAAATGCTAGTACTTTTCACGTTGTATTTAAAAATATAAATGCAAATACAAAGAATTTAATTCCTGGTTCCAAAAATGTAAATACTTTTGAACTATGTAAGAAACACAAGCACAAATACTTTTCGACATGTTTACACATCAATGCCATAACTGCATTCCATCATTATTAACGCCCTGAGAGTTTCCAGGCTCAATCTTGCTCGGGCAGGCGAGTAAAAATTGCCGGCTTTGTTAATCCCCCTCAGAAGGGGCCGGCGCTGCACAACAACCCAGAGACTCTTGGCGAAGTGCCTAAAAACGAATCTTTGTGTATCACGATAATACTTCAGTGAGTTGATACACAAAAGCAGAACACCT